ACCTGCAAAGTTCTCTGTGCACAAAACTGGGGAAAAAGGGTAGCTACAGCCGATGCAAGCCGGGGGGGTGAGGTGGGAATATATGGGATACGTATCATAAATGAAAAGGATAATGAACCAAACAACGATTTCATCTTAAATACTGAGAACAGAAGTTAAGCATGCAATGAACATGTGCAAATGCTTTTAAAGCATTTCTACTTTTTAAGCATTTTAAATGCAATATAGATATATACAGGAATTCTGCCTCTCATTTCTGAGTGCTGAATAGCATTCATATTTATGGTTTTGGCTTTCAGACTTAATATTTGCAGTGGAATATCTCCTTTTTCATTCCTAATTTTGCTGTTGCTGTCAAATCTGTTACCCTTCTGCATAGATGGTCGCAGACAAAGAATGACCACACAATGAATAAAATCTGCAATGAATTTCTTCTTTTCCAGGCCGCATTAGGGATTATGCAAATGGTTGAAGACACGCTCATTGAGCATGCTCATACAAAACCTCTGCTTCCCAGCCAGCTAGTAAGATACAGAGAAGTACAGCTGCCTGATAGTAAGTGGGCCTTCTGCTTATCAGCTATAAAATGCTTAATTTAAAGTTGAGTTTCATGGTGCAAATAGCTCAAAACAAATCAGGACAAATATGCCTTCAGCTATTTCTGTTTTTCAAAATTTATTTAATTTCAAGGTTGTATTGCAAATCTGTCAGAATTAACACCAACATGATTTGCTTCCATAAAAAAAAAATCTCAATCATGAGATTAATCTCTTTGTGTGCAGAATAAGAGGGGAATGATATTGTCACAGTCCAGCATGCTTAACCTGATAGTGGTGTATAATAGTGTGGTCATACTCATTTTGATAATGTGCAGATTGGAACTGCTGTATTCCTAGAGCTTCCTTGGCATTTGTTTGCAATATTGGTGTACCTGTTCAATTGATTCAGCTAGAAGGTGAAGTCTTCCACATATAGAATAAAAGAATATTTTTAGCTGGCACCTTGAGATGTGTTTAGACTGCTGATGCTAGAATTGTGATCAGTCTGTCTTTTTCCAAGCTGGTTGGGAATTCTGAAACTGGTAATTCATTTAGAAGATGCCAGGTTGCAGAAGGCTGAAATTAATATATTGGATTGTGTATTTATAATAAAAAGCGTTCTTTAATGCTGTACTTCGCTAGTCTACCCTAAATAGAATATAGGATTCTCCTTCAGCTAAAATTCCATTTGTTTTGCACTCTCCTCTTTTTCTTAGGAGGATGGTTCGTCTATCAACAGAGGAATGAAGTTCATAATAATTGTGGGATAGAAATATATTATCAAACAGATATGCAAAGCACTTCAGAGAATATGTTTTTGGAGCTCTTCTGTCAAATTATCTCAGAGCCTTGCTTTAATACTCTGCGCACTAAGGAACAATTAGGTGAGCTTTTGGTTGTGTGCGTGTCTCTCTCTTGAGATCAGTGTATATACTAAAGTAATTATGATAAGCTAATTTACTGTTTCAACTTTTCATTAAAAACTCCACCTATAGGAAAACAGATGGTTAAGAAACAAATGATTGGTAATCAACTATCTAGAGCTGTGCGGTTTATTCACTTAACTGATTTTTCTGCATTTGTGCAACACACAACACTGTAAACTAAAATATTATTGTGATTGGTTCTCAACAAAACTGAAAGAAATGGAGGCAGACAGATTCTCTGCACTAGATGCATTTTTAATCAGATTCTCACATTGCCAGATTCATAGCAGTCTTGCAGTCGATTACATTAAAAAAAAAATCAGTCCAAAGCCGATGTAAATTAAAACACCATGGTAAAGTAACAGTAAATTATCATAATAAAAATAAAACATACTAATAAACAAATAATAACTGATTGAACGCAAAATACCCTTTGGAAAAATTACATCTATACCTTAACTAGAAGGCAACCAATGTGGGGTCTAACCAAATCTTTAACGGCTACTGCTCCACAAACCAAGTAATGCCACTGAGAAGCAATGCTTTCAAGTTTCCACCTCTTCGCCTCATGGAAATGGGCGGTTTCTCTTGGGATCCTCTTACCAGGTGGTTTGATTCCTGTTGGAGGAGGCAATCCTGTATGCACCTAGGTACCAAGCCATAAAGACTTTATAGGTTATAATCAGTGCATTGGATTGAATTTGGAGGCCTACTAGTAGCTAACACAGGACCTACAGCACACTTGTAAAATGCTTGTTGTGATGAATGCACACAAGGTCAAGTGTGGTTTCCAGTGGTCTTCAGTACAGCCCCATGTGAAGTGCATAGTAGCCCAGATAAGTAGTGATGTGGGTGTGAGTCACTGTTCTAAGATCCTCTTGTTCTGGATTAGGACTGACTGCAACATGAGCTGAAATTAGCAAAGACCCTGCTGGCCACAGCCTTCATCTGCCCATCTGAAAGTAGCCACCAGTCTAGAAGGACCCCAAAGTCATGGACCTGCTCCCTTGGGTTTAGTGCTTCCCTCTTGAAAGAAATCACGGGTTGACAAAGATGAGATCTGGTAAACCCCTGGATGGAAGGCCATTAGACAGCCTGAGTCAAGGTGCTTAAAGCCTTGATTTATTTAGCAGCCACAGCAGCTCAGAGGGACAAAAGGACATGAAGGTTAAATACCATTTCTTTCCAAAAGTGCTCAGAGCAAGGAAGTAGAGTGAAAAACGGAGAGCAGCTTCAGGAGGATAAATTTAAGGAGCCCAACAAATAGAACAAGAATTTGAGATTGAAATCCTGAAAGGAAAGGGCTCTGTGAGTAATCTCTGGAAACATTCAGTGAAGGAGACGCTGAGTCAAATGGATGCATGCCGTAAAAAACAACAAGCAAATAAGAACCTGCCAGGATGAGAATCCTTGGAGAAAGGCCCCAGGCTTCAAGCCAGAATACCAAGTGGGAGGATTCCCAGCAGTAGAGTTATATGCTTGGGTAGCTTTTCTGTTAATAGGATTGCAGTTCCTCTCTCCCCTAATACACTTATATTCAAGCAGTTGTATTGTAGGAATGTATGGCTAAAGCAAACTATAACCAGAATGTAGTTAACTCTGTATGGAAACTGCTGAAACAATAAAAAGAACCTGAAAGTGCAATGTTGTGCATTGAGGATTTCTTCCCTTCAATATCATGGACAACAACAACAACAAAAGGGAGTTTTGAGATACCAGCAGAAAGTAAAGAATGTGCAACTAGAGCAGTTCACTCAAGACTACAGGCTCACGGCAACCAAGAAAGAATATTATTAAAATAACTTCTGTCCTCAAAAAAGCATAAATTATGAAAAATCTCTTGAAAGCTTTGGAATAGAAAGGCATTTGAGTGCAGCTTTTCAAGATTGATCTTTGTATTATGTGTAAAAAATAATTGAAATTTATGCTGGTTTATTAAGAAAGGCAGGAATCTTACACAAATGAAGCTTTTTGTTTCTTGTGTTCATGGAGAAAAAATGTTGCTA